AAAAACGTGTTTTATGTAGATCATCAACCAATTAAATTAATCAGGCTCATGGTTTTTGTCAGAAGGAAATTTACAACTTTACCAGAAACCGGTTTAAGTCCGGAGTTCATTACACAAACGCGTAAACATGCATAATTTTTTTCAATTTTTTCACACCCTTCACATACAATGTACAAATATAGACACGCGGCGGTACAGACAGAAAATGCCAAAACTATTTTTTTTGATATTTTTTATTATAAATGCATCAAAATCGTAATTTCAGTCATCAAAGTGCATAGAAATATGAGCCTTCCGCTTCGCTCCAAACAATTAAAAAAAATACCCGATTTTTTTATTATGTGTATCTGGTAATCGATATCCACCCTATTTCAAAATCTCCTGATACATTATTATCAATTTTGATATGAATTGGTTATCAGCACCACCATCGATTATAATCGCTTGAAGCCAATCGATTATAATCAATTAATTGTTTGCAACCGATCATAATCAGGCTTCAAAATTTCCTGATGTTCACCGATTAAATTCGATGAATATTCAGCGATAAATTAGATAACGATAGTATATTGCAAATACATTTAATTATTTATGAATAAACTCCATATCGATATGTAATAATAATCATTTATATCCACGTCCCAATAATTTAGCACTTATGCGAATGAAAAGACAGCAACATTAAGAAAAAGTTCCTTTATTAATAGGTAAGTATAGAAAAACATTTGTTTAATATATTTAGAATAAACTATTATATTTTATGATTTTTAACAAAGCAGGATGGAAGTTCTCATTGAATAAGTCAAGTTAGTAATCATTATAAGCGTAGAATTGGAATTTGAAAAGGATAAACAGAGGGCATTAATTTATATTATGAAAAAATAGAATTGATACTGTTACAAAATAGAAATTGGAATTGAGAAAAATAAACTTAAGACATTTATTTTTTTAATAAAAAAACTGCCAAGATCTTAGAGATTGTTACAAAAAAGGAATTTGGGTTGAAAGGAGGAATATAATGCATTCGTTTATTATTAAAAATCGGTAGAGATGGGAAACATTTGATGGAAGATCTCAAATGAGAAACGTTGGTGGAAAATGTAATATTTGTTGTTACAGTATCAAGACGGAGTTGGAGTTGTAAATAAAAAAATTGGCAGAGGTATAATGTATATTGTTGCGGGAATTTCATTTATAATTAACATTTATCCGTGATAAGTGATCTATTATTTTATAAATAACATTCACGATGCACTCATAACAATAAACTTGAATTTCCACATTACCTTGCAAGTTAATACAACGAACGAGAAGTTTTAGAAGCAGATCTGTTAAATCTTTATTGCAATGGTCAAAAGGTTCTTGTCCAGTGAATATCATTAAATAATAACTCCGAAGCTATAAGTATCAGAATTTGTGCAAGTAAACCTTCAGCCTAATAACACTTCCAGTACATGTCCATAAATACTGTCTTTATGCTTCTTTTTAGACGATTTATTTAGTTACCAACTGTTGACTCTGTTCTTAAAAACTTACTAGACTTCTATTATCGGAACATTGGTATTGAGTCAATCTACATTACCAATAACTAATTTACATTTGATATAGTTAACTTTAAATTATATAATGAATTAGTCCAATGTGTTCAATAAAGTATGCGAGAATAATAACTTACTTCAAAGAAAACAAAGGTTTTTCTTAGAATCAGGCAAGGCCTTAAGTGAGCAATACTTGATGGTTCGTCATTCTTACATAATTACCATGCTATGTATATCATCTATATCGATATCCTTGTTTTTACTTCCCGGTTCTTGAATTGTTATATTGAGATCGCACATCTGATACCAAGCTGAAAAGATTACATGGCCTGGTTTAGTAATAGAAATCGACTAAAATTTTTTAGTCAACTAATCAGTCGACTAATTTTATGACTAATCGTATAATATATTTAAATAGTGATAGGAATCGATTAAGTCAACCAGCCCCAATCTGAATGTTGGTATATTTCTCAAGAAATTCGCTCAAACGAGCTCATAATTTGTGTTCATTTATAATCTATCTCGGATCATTTTGGATGATCGTCATTCTTACTTTTAGTGATTTTTAGTCGACTAATAAAAGTTAGTTGACTATATATATAGTTGATTTTAAGTCGAATAATATTTAGTTGATTCCTATCACTAGTTTGGTCTACACCTAACTATATTCATCGAATATTCGATGAATGTATTCGGATATTTTTTGAATATAATTATATCATTTACAACAAGATTCGAAGTCGAAATTTGAACTAAAGAGCCAGATAAAATTATAATTATGTTTTGACAACCACATTTGCAAATAAAATTATAACTATATCTTGATTAATCTTAACTCGAATAGACCTTTTATTAATTTTAATCATTAGCGTACAATAAAAATCTAATTATTGTTCAATATTACTCTTTACGCTGTGTGGTAGGTGCTCGGTGAAGTGCTTGCTGATAAAAATGATATGTATCCAAAATAAAATTGTCAATCTTTATAAATATTAAACGAAAAGCGCAAAGTAAATGCAATAAGTCGAATCAAGAATTTTCACTTTACGCATTTTATTAGAACGCATGTAATTCTAAATGCTTTGAAATATTCAAATCAATAAATATAATAATCAAATAAGAGTAAAATACGAATTCAGTAAATTTATGTTTCAAAAATATGACCGAGCCTTTTCAGAGTAGTAAAATACCGAAAATCAATCTCATTAAAGGTGGTAAATAATTGGCTTAGCGAAACATAAAATACTGCGATAGATCTTTAATTTTAGCGATTATCAATTCATCTAGGCGGTAAAAAACCCGAAAGCAAAAAATTAAAAAATCAAAAAATAACTAAACTTTTTCTCTGAATCTATATTAAACCAATCATTATTGTTAACAAAACAGCACAAAGGTATAAAATTTACTAAGCTTTTTTAAGACTTCATCTCTTGCGTGAGCCCTAGACCAGAGCTCTACCAGAGTACTATAAGTTAAAGAGGTATAAAATTTTATTTTGATCATTATATTAACCTTTATAAGTTAAATCAATTGATTATATGCTTTGCGCGACAGCAGTGGTTACGATTAATAATATTATAAAATTATAGATATTTTGGCAGGCCAATTTTTCTAAATTTAAGAGATCATTTTAGACACCCGTGGTTAGCACAGCACAGAATCCTAAAACATTATATAAATATATTTGTTTCGAGAAATTTTTGTAAAACGATTATATGTAACGATGAAGATTTCTAAAATTATCGTACGATACGTCGTTTTCTAAAAATTCAAAACGCACAGTAATGTAGCATGGTTTCTATTTGGAATAACCAATATGTAACACGAAAAAAGTGCTCGTTATTCCATTTTATATGATTAAATTCTTATTTCTTTTTTGGTTTTTATATAAATACAACATCCGTTCAGAGAGAAGCGAAACGAAGTGGCTGATCAAGAACATATAATTTCCTTTTATAACCATTTTTTCGCTTAATTTGGACGTCAACTATGCAAATAGGATAACTTTTAGCGTCGTACGATTTCATTTAAGGGCTAAATTCAAAAAATACACACGAAAGAATAAATATATTTTATTTTATTATATTATATATCAACGAAACTTTACTCTTTATTAATTATAAATTTCAAATAATTACTTTTGACCATTATTATCTTATACAAATGATATATTAGTATTTTGGTCTATATTAATAAGCAATACAATAGTGTTGTACGCCGGAATGGAATTAGAATTCACTTAAGTTGATTTCAAATAAATATAGGTTATACTAGAATTCTAAATTGTACGTTGCCAGATAAGTCAAGGGGCCAGAAGAGTCAGAAGAAAGGTTGGAGCCAGCTCTATTAAAGACGCGTTTAAAACATTCTAAAATTTTTTTGTACATGTGAACTAAGGACCATAATTGGGGCCGTTATCAGAACCACATAATCTGAACGTTCATCAACTATCACCTTATCAACTAATCTATCTGCTGTTGTTACTCTTTCTTTTCCCTTAGTCTTCTTACTTTTGTCCTTTTTTGAGATAATCAGGTTTGTTAGGGTTTACTGTAATGTGTGCCATGTTATAGAACGAATTTGTCACGCTGTAGGCTTTGCTTATTGGGAGCTAACCATAGTGTATCATCCATGTAGGCTAGGACCGTTGTAACAAAAACTCTAAATTTGCCATTCGTAGTCGGCTAGCCGTGGCTAAATAACCAGCTATAGCTGATCAATAATTTAATTAATTGCTTCGAGCCCTCAAAATATTCCTCTCAACCACCAAGTTTGTATATGCTTTATTCCGCTGCCAATTCTCTCTAATAATCTCCCTGATATGTTGTATGTGATAGTAGTGCAGATGATACATTTTGTATCTTTCAGATGTGGAAGAAATGTATGAGATTAGTGGGTCATAGTATATTTGCCAAAGTAGTGGTGTGATTGTTTCTCCTTGGTCGATTCCATCTTGTACGTTGTAGTACTGAGTAGGGCCCAGGTTTGTGATAACAGAATTTTGCTGGTCTGAGAAGATGTTAATTATGAGTTGTTGAGTTGTTTCAGGGATGTGGATGCGGTTGAGTGCTAATTGTAGAAGCGGTATGTGAACAGAGTCGTATGCCTTGCTTATGTTTTGTGAGAGAAGTCATATTTCCTTTTTTTGTGCTTGGGCTTCTTGTAGAATGTTGGTAAGTATGTGAATAGGCTATGTACGGGCTG